GCTGACAATCAGATCATCCATCTTCTTCAATTCAATTCATGTCATTGCCACGTGAGGTGCAGTACGCGGGCGCCTATGTTTCCGTAACATGGTCAACCCTCTTCTCATCATCTCTGCACAATCCCTATTCCTATCATGTCGCACACTTACAACGTTTAATTTCTAGCAAAGTATTTTATACAAGGAAAATACTACTTGTACTCTCACACTTAAAATATTGATATAGAACTTTTACAGGGGCCCACATGAAGAAAATGGCCTTAGAGCTCGCCACATCAAGAAATAAATTTAAGAAAGTATGATTTGAGTGTACATGTGGTACAACTCTTTATACTAATGTAACCATATATTTTGTCCATGTTGAGTATGACCTCAAGCATAATTAGTCAAGTTTGAAGAGAAAATTTGGTCTTATTTGAACATAGTGTACAAGCAGTGGCGGCCCCCACTACCCAAAATTACACAATCCCAAAATGACGTCGTTTTGCGGGTGTTATATATATATATATATATATATATATATATATATATATATATATATATATATACTTTTTTTTTTCATTTGTTCTCCGCACAGACTGAGAGGCGAGAGCTGTGTAAGTCGACGCCACTTCGCAATTTATAATGTACTTTGTATTTTAACAATCTCATTTGTATTTGAAATTTTTTGAATTTATTTTCCCTTTGCTTCTTTGCCCCCACTGAAAATAATTCCTGGCTTCGCCACTGTGTACAAGTATTTGAAAACTTTTTTTTTTGAAAATAAGTATTTGAAAACATAGTACATTATGTGATTTACGTCATCAATACTCTCAAGGGTAGGAACTCTAATGTGTGTTGGATCTCTGCGCTGCACGCTTACTTCCCAGTAAGTCACATATCTTGTAAGTCATATCCTTCTTTCGTGATAATGGTAAGCCACAACGTTACGTTTCAAATGAAGCTGACGCCTAACAATCCCCTCCCAACACCTGTCGCAATCTGCAATCACAGAGTCCGACCTACGCTCATCCCTACTAGACTTGACTCCTTGCCATAGATTCATATCTATGACCTTGACTTTGATATCAATTGTTGGATATCAGGGTTGCACAGTCAAGCACGCTTAACCACGAAGTTCTTTGATTATCTAGTTGCCATATCATTCTTAAAATCAATTGGTAATGATATAGTCCTTCAGTTATCATCGAGAGATTATATTGGACTACGACATCCACCACCGAGATAAATGTAAATTCTTAATAATTAAAAAATTGAATCAACTATATCTTCATTAGGGTATTGAAAGCGTCATTTCCCAATATATTTGATGGTTCAACTACAAGAATATATATTTTTATATTCAATACACATTAAAATTTAAACCCCCCCCCCCCCCCCCCCCCCCCCTTTCAATCTCAGTAATCTACAACAAATATGCCTTATTAATATAATTGATAAATATTTACCAAAGGTGCAATGAAATAATTAGACGTGGTGGTCAAGTCTATATATAACAAAATGTGGCTAAAAACGGTGTTTTAGGCTTGCAGCTAGACCAGTAGAGCCGGTGATTATTATGGCATTCAAGCAAAGTGTTAATTTAACTCGTTTAATGAACAAGTTCTTGAGCCTACTAAGAGAAAACGTTTTTGTTTATTAACTTTTATATTTAGTTTAATGGAATGATGTGTTCCATTTTAACTAATTTGTAAATTATTACATTAGAGCGGAATTTATTCAATGCATATTTTTAAATAGTGATTATGGGTTTCTCTACTCAATCAAAAAAAAAAAAAAAAAGAGTAAGAAATTAAATATTTTTTTCCAGTTGAATTTATGTTCTTGTAATTAATTTTCTAAAAATGGAGTTCTGAGAAGTTTGAGGTTGGACTATATATAACAAGTTAAGAGATGACTTGTGTTTTTGACTTTGAGGGCATGGTGAGTGGTGACCACCTTTTTTTAATAAAGAAAATTATTTATATACCAGGGAGTAGGAAAAGACAGGCAAACACATTTGGCCAAAAAACCAATATAGCCAGTATAGAAAAACCAAAAAGTCAATACTTTGCACTTTAATTAGGTCAAGATATGAACATTGATTAATTTGAGTATGGTACGAATTAAAAAGTATCTCTTAACATTAAAATTTTCTCAAGACACCTCATACCTCAATAATGATAGCTGCAAATCCACTCCTTACGAATTTTCTATGGGAACTTAACCAAGCAATTACTCCAACTCAATTGGGTTTAGTTTTCCCAACACCCTTTCTTTATTTTGCCTCAAACTCATCTAGTTTCATCGAAATTATTATCAATATTGATATTAATTTTCATATTTACTTAATTCAATAAAATATTTTGATTATAGACTAAACAAGAGAATAAAATTTTGTACATTTATTATTTATTAGGCCTAATGCTATTGATATATAGGATGCATATATCGACTAGAATCCAAGAAATGTTTGTGTTGAATATCATAAATTAATAATAAGTTCATATCTAGCAGTTAACTGGGCAATTTTGTGCTTTAATCCAAATTATATCATGGACCTAGATATTTAAAAATAATATTGTAGATATATAAAAATAATACTATTACTTTATAAAAATGGTACGAATTGATCAAATATTATCACTTAAATATATTATTCTTGTTGGTGTAATTGATCCTAGAAATCCAAAATAACCTCTCACATGAGCTTTTAATTGAATATATATGTAGCAATATAATAAATATAATAATTTTAACATGAAAATCCGAAAGGAAAAACATGTCTTTTAATATATGGATCTTTCATGGCAAGAAGAAAGAGGGCAATTTATATCGTGCACTACGGTGCACATATTAATGTGCGTCCAGTCACAAAATGTGTGTGTTTCAATTGCTGACGTCATTTTGTCCGTCCAAATGGCCCGTACCCCATTATGTATATTCAGTTAAAAGTTTTTTTTTTGTATTTTGTTATGAGTTTCTGTGTATTTAGTTAAGAGTTTATGTAATTATGTGTATTCAGTTAAGAGTTTCTTTGTATTATGTATCATGTTAGATTATGTGTATTCAGTTATGAGTTTCTGTGTATTCAGTTATGAGTTTCTGTGCATTCTGTTATTAGTTTATCTGTATTCAAAACAATATTTTTTTATTTTTTTTTTTTTTACAGTGCACCAAAACGACGTCGTTTGGATAGGACAGGGCGCATAATACATTGTGCACCCTGGTGCACGATATAACGACTGAAGAAAGAGAGACTAGACAATTATTTCCTTAAAAAAGGACAAGGTAGTGGAGAAAAAAGCCCAAAGAATAAAAATAAGGATTTACGTACTCTTCTTACAAACATTATTACATGGTCCATATAGATGTGTGGATCATAAATAAAAAATATGAGTTAATACTCAAAATCGTCCTCGACTATAATGATTTTTTTCAATTTCGTCCTAAACGACTTTGGTGACCTAATATCGTCCAAGACTTTTGTGTTTCGCTCAATTTAGTCCTCCATTTGTTATTTCGTCAAATTGGTGTTAAATAAAGGGACAATTCAGTAACGTCAATATTGATCTCTCTTTACTTTCAACTTGTGAAGTGCGAAATTCCTCTTTCTTGTACGAATTACGCCTAGAATTACTCCCGGACCTGCAAATCAAATTTTATATTCGCAGTTTTAGGAGTAATTCTGGGAGTAATTTGTAAAAAAAAAAAGGATTTCGCAGTTCACATGTCTATGAGTAAAGAGATGCCAATATTAAAATTACTGAATTGTCTATTTATTTAACACCAAATGGACAGAATAACAAATGGGGGATTAAATTGAGCAAAAACACAAAAGTCTGGAACTAAATTGAGTGAAACACAAAAGTCTGGGACGGTATTAGGTCACCAAAGTCGTTTAGGACGAAATTGAGAAAAACCACTATAGTCGAGGACGATTTTGGGTATTAACTCTAAAAAATATTTTTAATATATTAAAAGTATATTATTTGAAAGCAAATTATTTAAATATTGAAAATATATATATATTTTTACACATTATTAAATAATGTACTTTTAATATATTATAAATGTACCTTTATTTTGATCCACACAACTCTCTGAACTATGATTGACATAATAATTTGCCATTTACGAAATAGAACATAAGGAATATCTCGCTACCTGCCAAATGACTCTGATCTGCCCAACAATATAATTTTATTTTCCAATAAATATCATATCAAAATGAGTGGGGCCCAAAAATGATATTTTCTTTTGAAAAAAATGATATTAATTGTTCACTATCACATGCCACATTTTCCCATCGTATTCACTTTCATGCATCGCCATAGCTCCATGAATTACCCTAATCTTCATGTCATTAACCTGAGTAAATGTCACTTTCAATTATTCTAAACCTCTACCAAAAGTTAAATCTTCTCCTTAATAAATCATTTAAGAAAATGTAAATCATAGTAATTCAATGACTTAGCAGACATGACTAAATGATGGTGTGCACAAGGGATTTACCTACTTTGAATATAATCTCACACTGCCGTTGTCAAAGTTCAAACATTGATCTCATATCTCAAATACTATCTACTAAACTATTGAGCTAAGCCCGTGTAGACTTCAATTATTCTAAACTATTACAATTCATAATTTAAAAAAGATCTTGTTATACTTTCTTACATTTACCATGAACTTGCACAAACTCATTCCATGATGAGAAAATTTACGGTAAGTTAAAGTTAAAAATAAAATTGAAAAAAAAAGAGAGAAGAAAAACTAGCTACACAAAAATGGTCACGTCAAGATACAAAAATTGTGTGATTTTTGTAGGGTGAGAAATTTTTTCTTTTGAAAAAACTTTATATTATTTTAGTGTGTAATATATATGCTTTTTCAACCATAATAAAAAAAATTTAATTTGTAAGAGAAGAGCTAATATTGTAATAATTGGGATAATTCAACATAAAATTTGTCCATTCAAAATAGTCAAGAGTTAAAAGGACCAAACAGTAAACACGATAATCAAAATTAAAATTATCCTTTTCTATTATTAAATTCGTAAAACTAAATAGATATGACAAATGGGTCGGCAAACAAGACGTACACGATTCGGAAAGAAGATTCTTGTGAAATACTGAAATTGGACCATTGAGCTTTGACTTTATCATTTTCATTAAGCATTATTTAACATTAAATATTTGTTTTCAAAAAAAAAAAACATTAAATATTTAAATCCTCAATCAATTTGCCTAAGGAAACCGCAGACGATCCATTCTTCATCCAAACTCTCTTGCACATTTCACTGTATTCTTTAACCTTTTCTCTCACTTCATCATCACCGTCCATCAGCTTTCTCACTCCTCTCTCAACATCCTCAGCAGACACCAACGTGATCCCATCCTTGTAGTCAAACGTTATCTCCACAGCCAATCCCAATTCCTTAACCATCTGAAACGCATTCAGATGTTGCTCCGCGTATATAGGCCACGTGCCGATGGGTACACCGTGGCACAACGCTTCCAAAATCGAGTTCCATCCACAGTGTGACACGAACCCTCCGATCGCTTTGTGGGCCAGGATTGTCACCTGTGGGACCCACCCGCACACCATTCCTTTGCCCTTGGTCCGATCTGAAAATCCTGGTGGCAAGACGTGGTCTAGATCGGTGTAGTCGTTTGGGAGGTCTAGTTTGGACTTGGGCGGTTCCCGGATGGACCACAAGAACCGATACCCAGCTCGTTCTAACCCGGTGGCTATCTCCCTAATTTGGGCCGGGTTCAGGCTACCCATGCTCCCGGTTGTCAGGAAAACCACTGACGATGACAGTTGATTGTCGAGCCACTTCATGACCAATTCGTGGTTCCACGAATCCGGGTGCCATCGAGCCGGCCCTTCCCGGTCCACCACCGGTCCAATAGGATAAACCGGTCCTACATCATTCCCGCCAAACATCGATCCCAGACAATAACTCTCCAGTTCCTTGAACGTGTTCACGACCACACCCCGTGTTTCTCGGTATCTCTTGGCGTGTTGCAGGAACGGCAGATAGGTATCTTCATGTCTCTTCGACATGAAAGGGGGGAAAGACTCGACCGGAACCGGGTTTTCGAAACCCGGAATAACGTACTCCTTAGCCGCGTCCCCGAATTCGCTATTCTTCGGAACTTGAGCATCCAGGGTCGGGATATGAAGCATGAAACTCAAGAAACTGGCCGGAGATGCAAAGTAAAGATAGCAAGGGATATCGAGTTCCTCTGCGACATCTATGAAAGAAGTACAAAACATGTCAACGAAAAACCCGGCGATCCGAACATCATCATCGGACTTAAGTTTAGTCAGCGCACGTCTCACGTGCGGCTCGTGGTTCTCTATCCAGATAGATAAGAAGCTTATGGTGGATCGGTTCTGGTCCGGGGACGGCGGCTCCGCCGCGGGGAGGCTGAGAAATTCGAGGTTTCCGTCGGAGGCGAGCGAGTCAATGTATGATTGGATCAAGGGTCTTTGAGGCATGTTGATGAGAAGTACAGTAACTGAAAGGTTTTGGTTTTGGTGCGATAAGAGTTTAGAAAACTCGACAACGGGAACGAGGTTTCCGATGGTTGGTGTTGAGACGAAGACAACCTTAGCTTGCTTCATGATTGCCTTTTTTTTTTTTTTTTTTAATTTATTTTTTGAATCTGTGGGTGTGGGTTAGGATGAAGACGACGATCGAAAGCATATAAAAGTACGTAGCACATGCACCGATGGATCATGGATTGCCGTAAGAATTTTTAAATTAATTTATGGCAAAAATAAAGTCATCATGCATGACGCAAAGTTGAATGTACGATGTGACTAGGTGTCTATGTTTGCACAACGTTTTTCTTAATTGGACGTTTGTACCACCAATAGTTAGGCACTATGTGACCACTATGCTTAGGGATGTTCAATTGGTTAACCATTCGGTTAACTAAACTGTTTTAACCGAAATTTTAAAATCTTTAATCGTTAAAGGAATCGAAGTTTGTGTTACTGAATTAACTGAATTGGAATTTTTTTTTGATTAATCAGTCGGTTAACCGATTAACCAAATTTTTTAAAGTTAAAATTTAAAATCTTAAAAATAACACTTAAAATAATAAATTTAATTAAAATAATACATATCATAATAAATTCATAACAAAATATAAAAAATACAATACCGTAACAACACTATAAACATATTAAATTTAAATATTTAATACATTATATATATATATTAAAAAGTTCGGTTAACCGTTCGGTTAACTGACACTTTCGAACCTAATTAACCGTTAACCGAACTGTAGAAAAATCTTTAACCATTAACCGAACCGAAAAATTTCGGTTAAAAAACGGTTAACCGAACTTTGTCGGTTCGGTCGGTCAACCGAAAATTATCCGAAGTTTGCGCATCCCTAATGCATGTGACCATGTGTCTATGTTTGCGCCTGTATGAGCAGCTCAATCGGTCACAGGGATGAAGTTTGGAAACAATAATCTGGGATCAAGTCTCATCAGCAGTAGTTGGCTCTTTGTGCACAATAAGTAAATGTCTAATATCTGTGTTCAGTTGAGTTACCATAATTTATATTCTCGGCGGGGCGTGGGCACCCAACAATAGTTAGGCACATATTGACTCAAGGAGAGGAGTGACTTTCTCCGATTCCGGAGAGTTAGTTCTTTCTGTCATTTGTGGAGTTTATACAATAGTTGCAACTTCAAGGCCTCAATGTATCTTTCCTTTATTGCAATGTATTTTTCAATTCGTTCCTCTAGTACTGATATTCCTTCGTTGATTTATTTATTTCTTCTTTTTTTCTTTTTTTTTTTTTTTTTTTTTTTTTTTTTTGGTTGTAAAAGTACAATGCAATTGATGGCAATGTAGTAATATTCATTTATTTTTTCACTCAATATAAAGATAACCCTATCAAGCCCACCTCCCATGCCAACCCTGTCAATGGCAATAAAGGAAGCATTAACGTGACTAAAGGAGCGTAGTATGAATAACTACATGTTCGTCATGTCAAAAGGTCAGCGAATTATGTAGCTCATGTGCTTGCACGAGTGACTGGTTCTAACTCTGTCCATGGGGTTTGGGAACATATCCCGCCTCCTTGTATTTCAGATTTGATGGTTATTTAATATATGAGTTGTCTTATTTTCAAAAAAAAAATATATATAAAGATAACCTTAAAATCAAAATCTTCAAGAAGATTGAGAGAGTTATTATGTGAAATGGTTTGCATTGTGGGGTAAGTAATTTTTTTGTTTGTCAACAAAATTGTTAAATAGCACTCTCTATTTTTTTTTTTTTCTTCCTTCAACTACCCACACTGTCATATATATACATGCTAAACACACGGTAGAAGGCCTTCACATCCCAGGACTTTTCATATGCTATGACCCTTCACATCCCAGGACTTTCCATATGCTATGACCCTTCACATCCCTAACTTATTCACTTCTAACACTCCCCCTCAAGCTGGGGCATAAATATCAATCATGCCCAACTTGTTACAAATATATCACATGAGCCATAAGACTTCACATCTAGAGTCATAACCTTCGAGATCAACACTCATGTCTCGAACCACTTGATTAATCTTCAAACCATGTTGTGCCAAATCAGTCCACAACTCAACTTGTTGCACCAACAAAGCTTCCACGAAGCCAAAACCAGGCCAAACATCACAGCGCACCTGCCACTCACACCCCACACTGTTATCAACACTGCCTAACACCACAGTGCTCCTGCCTCTCGCACCACAAATCATTATTAGTGCTGCCCAACTCTAGTATTTTCCTGTTTTCCTGGTGCATACTCACAAATTGGTTCATCCCGAACCAATTCTTCTTCAGCCATCGGCTTTCCATAACTGTCGTGGCATATGCCAGGTCCGCATCCCTCCTGGCACCCGTGCTGCCCATCACTGCAGCACCCCAGACTCAACTCATACCAAAATATGAGACGACTAATCCTATGACCCATAGCCCAAACAACATATAAACTAAACTATATATAACAAACCCACAAAATAAAACAACTCAAAACGCCCAACATAAAATAACACCACGTCTGTCTTCACCAACCAAAGTTTCTCTCACTCTATGGAGACCTGGGCCCGATCACCACGGCACCACTCCATATCAACGATTACACTAGGATGGAATAAACAACCGACACAGACTTGGAGAACACCAAAAAACCTCTCACTCTTCACCTAAGTCGACTCTCCTCTTCACGGCAAAACTCCCGATGTGGTCGCCGTCGCAAAAGGTTGCCGGAAAAAGTCTCGCGCCGGGGAGCTCCGGTCAACGGCGACGCGTCTCCGCTTCCTCCGGTGGCGCCGCCTCCTTGCGCCGATTAATGCCCACTAGACTTTGATACCATGTCAAATAATAGCACTCTCTACTATTTCTTTTTTCTTCTTCCTTCAACTAAACACACTGTCATATATATACATGCTAAACACACTATAGAAGGCCATTCACATTCAAGAACTTTTCATATGCTATAACCCTTCACATCCCTAACCTATTCACTTCTAACCATCACAGATTCTGCCATATATATACATGCTAAACACACTATAGAAGGCCATTCACATTCAAGAACTTTTCATATGCTATAACCCTTCACATCCCTAACCTATTCACTTCTAACCATCACAGATTTTAGGAAAACAAGTATATTTTTCTTTATATCAATAATTAGAGAAATTTTTTACACGTATATTTTTTATATTCATACGTATGAAGATTTAGTAAATTTAAGCTATTATTATATCTACCATATTTGTTTTTACCAAGTACCAAAAAAAAAAAAAAAAAAAAAAAAAAAAGAGTACCTAGAATTATGAGTTAATGTTTAGACATTACAATTGGTTTCATAACTGTCAAAATAAATTGATAAATTCTAGCTAAAATTTGTTTTTAAATGACACAACTTAACTTAAGAAAAAAAATAAGAATTATTCATGATTGAAATATAGAAATACATTTTATAGTATTGGATATCATATTGAATCTATCAAACTAATACCTATATAATCCAAATACAGAATATGCACATTTAGGACTTATTTAAAAAAAAAAAAAAAAAACAGAAGACTATTTGTGATAGTTTTAGAGAAATTGGAGGACTTATTGTGGTAGGCTTGTAAATTGAGGATCAAAGCTGGTAGCATCTCAAACTCAAATGATTATTATTGGTAGCTTTTAGAGAAGTTGAATGACTTAACATTACTAGTTGCCAGGAAAAGCAATATGCAAGAGAAACAGTTTAAGCAAATCATCAAGAACCCATGTGTACTTGAACCAAATTCATTAACAAATGTCTGTCTATTCATTTTCTTTTCTCAGTGCAAATACAGCATAAAACCAGATATAAATTAGAACAACAATATAACTAATTACTCAGGAATGCAATTGTTGAGAAGTAAGCCATTCTTTTGCTGCTACCAGATCAGGCAGCACTATGGCTCCAGATTTCTTCCAATTTTCAGCATCAGCTGTCTTGAACCTGTCAAGCAATATTGCATGCATCCCCACACTCGTAGCCGGTACGAAATCTTTTCGCATGCTGTCCCCGATGTGCAGAACTTCTTCGGGCGCGACGTTTCCAGCTCTCTCCAACGCAATCCGATAGATCTTCGGGTCTGGCTTTTCTACACCTTCTAGCCCAGAGAATACGCCAAAATCCCACTCCGATCCCTGAATTCACGCCATACATTATAACCAAGCATTGCCACTACTATTTGAGTGAAATTAGGAGTTTTTCGCACTTTTGGTCCCACAACTATAGTGGCACTATCAGGATTGATACACGACTTTCAAACCTTGTAATCTCGGTCCACGACTATTGTCTTTTTTGCAAAAATGGTCATTCCGCCCCATTTTCCGTCAATTTCTCACCAGAGTAAGAACCATTTCCGACCAAAACGGGCCAGAACATGGGCCGGAAGGACCATTTTTGCAAAAAAAAACAATAGTCGTGGACCGATATTGCAAGGTTTGAAAGTCGTGGATCAATCTCGATAATGCCACTATGGTCGTGGGACCAAAAGTGCGAAAAACTCGTGAAATTAGTAATGTATTTGACTTCGATCTGCTTGTGTTAGAATATTAAGTGAAGCATGTTCACCTGATTCAAACCGAGCGCTGGGAGGATTACATCCTGATACCGATACTCAGCGTTGCTGACAAGCCCGACTGTAACCCCTGTAGAACGAAGCCACCTTAGGAACGGTTGGGCATCTGGGAAAATAGTGTACGGTGCAGAGGAACCAAACGTTGCATATATGCGTCTAAAGATCTTTTCAAAAGTCTCCTCGTCATAATCATATCCAGCCTGTCAACAATGGATTATACAAAGCGTTATTAAGTCAGCTATCCAAGATTATAAACTTGCAACTAAAGCATCAGTCTAATGACCAATTTGAGAAACAGGACATAGAGTTATTATGCGATGTCTACCTTCACAAATGAATCTCGCACACAAGTCTTCCACCAGATAATGTTCGGGATCTTTTCTGCAAACCCGAAGCATGGATGTTTTCTTGCCATGTCTGTATAAGCGAGTTTAAAGCCCTCGTGCACTCTTTTGTAGTCGGGGCATGGAAGTCCCACGGCTTTGGCTGCCATGCAATAGTAGTCACCTAGCTCTCCTTTGTAAGCGATCAGTGTACCAGTAACATCGAGTGTGACACAACGTAACCTTTTCAGCATAGACATGGTAAAGATGTTGGAACTCTCGAGCTTCTGGTGCCCAAATTCTGAACTATATTTGAGACTCAACAAAACCTTGTGTTAGGGTGAGGATAGCGGCTTTATCAGCACCCCAACCGCTCTGCACAAATATTTATATACGGCATTGTTGTTAGCAAATATCAATTGAAATGACTAAATAATAAAACAGGCTCTAAATAACATTATGACAAAATACTATGTGGTCCTAAACAGGCTCCAAATAACACGATGCCTCCTAACACAAAAACAGCCTTTTTCTTCTAATCTAAATAAGGATGGAAGTTCAAGTTCAACTCCCAACGGGAGTGGCCTATTGGCCTTCTTGGTTTGAGCCGGTCAGCTATGGGCAACTTAGGCTGGTTTACCTCTGCTGGTTAGGGCCACAAGGCAGAGGTGGCTGCGGGTTTCCATCATCACCCGAAAATAAGGATGGAAGTTTTGCAATTCGAAGATATACCGCTATCCCGCTTTTCTTTAAGCTTATTTGATAACATTCAGTCATACTTACAAGGATCAAGACACATTAGTGAAAACCAAACAAGACAACCTGAATGACTATCACTAAGCTTCCAAATCTTCCTAATCAGATACTCCATAACTTCTGGGTAATGTGTATTCTAATTCACTCATTAAAAGCATCCAATAATGAGACATGAACACTAAACAAGATGCAGTAACTTGAGAAGAACTGAGGAAGGAGGAAAGTAGAGCATCATATAGATGTAAATTATTATATCCTTTAGTATTACAACCGAGAAAACAAGTCTAAATTGTTCTTGTGTAAGGATGAACATATAATAAGAATGCCAATGCCTAACTCCAGAACATAATATACAAGAGGAAAAATAAATTTAAAAAAAAAAAAAAAAAAAAAAAAACTTTTCTTGTTAAACATCAAGAGTATAAATCTTGCTATTCCTCAAAACAAAACCTCAAAAAGTTATAGTGCATCTCAAATCAACAGAATTTCCAATAACGTTTTTCAGGTGAAATCTAAAGATAGTTTTTAAGTAACCATTCCATCTAAGCAGAAATCACAATACTTCAAAAACTAAAACCGAAAAGAACTGGATTATAAAAAGAACAACAGAAATGCAGATTAACTTACATAAAAGTGGAGTCACTATATGCTTAAATCTCACCATGATCCAAGAAAAAAAAAAAAAAAAACAAACAAACAAACAATCAAGACAGCAAAAGATCCAATTTTGAAATTAAAAAAAAAAAATCGAAAAATTGGCATGCCCAGAATGGAATTGAAGAATACCCAGAAGCCGAAACGAGTACCAATCACTGTTGCGTCGCACAAAAAGCCATTTTTTCTGTGAAAAGCTTGATTTTTTGGACACCGTATATACATTCACAAGTTCACAGAGAGAAGAAATCCTAGCATGTATTTATTTATTATTATAATTATTTATAGCATTCCCAGGGAGGCAAGGAGCCAAGGACTACTTTAAAAAATAAAAATAAAAAAAGGAAAAATAACCATTATATTGTACAATTAATTATAATAATTTGTAAAGAGCTATATTTGCTATGAAGTCCCTTGTGCCTGAAAAAGATTTTCAATTTTATTTATCAACATCGATTTTAATAATACAATACAATCATATTCCATATTTAAGTATATGGTATACCTGATTATATCATATACTATTATTCGATATCAATAATATTTCATACCGATAAATGAAATTGACTCTAAAAAAATTATAAAAGAAAAAAATGTTCAATATAAATAAATGAGAAAAAAACTTACTATATTTGATAAAATTATTTTGGAATTACAAACTCAGTATGTAAATGAGACAAAAGGCGTCTCCATAACCGATAATAATTTGAAGTTTATAACTGATAAATAAAATTGACTCAAAGATAATTATAAAATGGAAAAATGCTTAATGTAAATAAAAATAAATGAGAGAAAAACTTACTATATTAGGTAAAATTACTTTGGAGTCACAAATTCAGTATGTAAATGAGATAAAAGACGTCCCACAAGATAATAATCGACTTATTTATACAAGAAGCAATCTTATTGTTCTTTTAGTGTTTTAGATGTTTCCCTAGCGAAGTGGGTGCTTGTAGCGATTATAAAAACTATCGATTGGCTTCGTTTTTTTAATCCAACCCTTTCTTATTGGTTTGTCTGGTTCGAACTTTGAGTATCTTTGGCCTCAACTTTTTAGGTCGAGTATAATATATCTATCAATATCTAATTTAAAAATAAAGTGGATGGAGGGTGTAACACTCTAACCCCAATCAAGATGGCTAAGGATACAAATTTGTAACTACAATGTCATGAGTTTTAATCTCAACCCTCTTAATTTGAACCAGTCAACTATAGACAACCTATACTAATTTATTTCCTTATAGTCTTTTGTCGACTAAGACCCCAATGTGTAATTTATACAGTACACACTTCCAGTAGTAAAAAAAAAAAAAAGAAGGATGGAGGATTGTGACTTAAGTTTGATGATGAGAGTCATGATTCATGAATGAATCAAAGAAAAATAAGGTACGGAATGAAATACATTGATGAGGTGAAGGACACACATGTAATTTCGGGAAAAAAAAAACACGAACCACGGATACCCAGAAAACCAGGGATGAACGCCTGCGGATTTGTATGTCTAAACAAATGGGTAATAAATACTAAGTAGTTTTGAGCATCTTGTTTTCATAGATTTTGGATTTCCTCAAACCCCCCACCCCCACCCCCATCCAACTTTTTAAATCTCCTCTTACACAAAATATGTTAATACTTATACTGCCCTCGAGATTATATATTTCTATTAAGTAACTTATATTAATTTAGATAAAATTAAAAAAAATTAATTTCTAAGAGTAATTAATATATCAATAAAAACAGAGTGTATACTACAATTCTCCCTCTATCTCTCTCTCTCTTTTTTTTTTATTATTATTTTTTTTTTTATAAATTCTATTCACTCAAGGGGTGAAATGCTTGGCATATTCTTTTCTGCTTTAAAAGGCGTTTCCCCACTCTTTTTACATCTTGTTAAAAGAAAGGTACAATTTCAAAGATTTTTTTTCCTAATTTTGTTATCAGGACATTTTAACATTTAATTTCTAAATATTATTGTTGTCACATTTGGTATACAACATTCATTTTTTGTCACATTTGATAATATCAATTAAATCAATAGCTAAAAATAATTGAAATGCATCACATTTCAAGTTTGGACGGCGAGGGAAAGCCTACAACCCTTTCAATAATTATAAGAAAGTAAATCAACATAGGTTACTTATAACTGACCGGCTCAAACTAAGGGAACAAAAATCCAAACTCCTGGCCTTGTAATTATTATTGAATAACAATTAACAACAATGTTCCATGTTTTCAAAAACAACAACTAACAATGTTCCATTGTTCCATATACTTATATATAAAGATAGATAATTAACAGATTATTTCCATGTATAATAATTACGAAAATTATTACACCCATTTCCTCCATGAATGTTGTTCATCAAACTAAAAGAGTTTGGAGTTCAGACTGAAACATGAGCATAGGAAGACACCATCTTGAGGACATCAACACTGTCTCCCACTCTAATGCTTTTCTTCTTTTCTTCATCACTGCACTCTGTGCACACAACATACTGTCCAAAGTATATCTGCAAATTTATTATTGCACCTACCAGTTTATGCTAACAAAATAGACATCATCCAAAAACGCTCGTTAACTTTGAAAGTTTTCGTAATCCCTTACCCTTCCAAGCGGCTTCATTTCTGGATGCAAGACTTTGTTCGAGCGAAACTTTGAAAGGGTTTCAAGTGGCTCTGGGCCTAGTGCTGCTGTTTCTGGATGAACTCTTGTTACCTGAAGTAGAATTAACTATCAGCTTAGACTTTTAGTTAAAATGGAGCACATGCTTCAATTTGGTATCAGAGCCAACCCCATGACCTTGTTGAGCATATATATAATATATAAACATAAATGTGTAATCCAAACTATCAACTTAGCCTTTTAATTGAGATGGAGCACATGCTTCAATTCATTTACATTAATCATCGAGATTCCAGGGGAGAATATGCAGAGGAAACAAGCTTTTACCTTACAGCGGTAACATAGTTGAGTGCTATGAAATGTTAATCCATTTATCTCAATCTCCTTCCACAAATCTTCAGCGTATGCTTCACAGCCCTCGACAACAATGCTGTGGGGAAGTTTCCAAAGCATCAAAGATTAAAAACACAGTTGTAAATTTGTAATAAGACCTTAGTTCAAATAGAGGAATCGCAGTGTAATAAGTAAGCTATTGGTCGATTATCTTTAGTCTATTAGAACAATAAAGTTGGTGTAAGAGAAGATACTTCGGTCTGAAGCGCATGATTGAAACAGGCTCCTCGAGCTGCTCATTTAATGCATCCAGCGATTTCTGACAACAATAGCGAAAAGAAGGACAAAGCAGAATATGGTGGTAAGACCTTAGTTCAAAGAAAATGGAAAATTTCTTTGAAGGACCGACTAGTCTAACCTGGGATACCAGGAGATATGGATACTCAGCACTAAACTTAATATGATAGCCCGAGACATAACTGGGGTTCGCAGACCTGTTCTCTGTTGCTGCATTAGCATAAAAGAGAGAACGACCATTAGATGTGCACATTTATCAGAGTAGAAGATTTAGGATGTTCAATAAGTGAGTGTAGTGTGTTACCTTCATTAAAACGCACAAGCCGGCAAGGTTTGCCAAGAAACTTGGTGAACCACTCCGATGCTTGATCTCCCTCGTCTAACGCAGAGCCAGACCACTCCATCAAGGAGACACCATTGCTTATGGCAGACGGTGCAACCAATGGGAGCTTCAGCACATCCATCCCCGGGGCCTTAATCACTGTTGAAGTAAACTATTAACCGTTAATAAAAACATTTCATTTGAAGCAATTTTACTACCAAACTATTATTTTCACCAACGTTTATTTAACTATGTTTAGATACAAACTGCTCATACTAGTCCAACAAGAACATAAAACGAAGCACATTACTTTCACCAACGTTTTCCCTATGAAATGATTAGTATATTTCAAATGAGATTTACCTAAAAACGAGCCCTTTTTGGGTTCCCAGCCCTCTGTGAATGCCTCGTGAGGCAGTTCTGGTTCAACCAAAGTAAGTGATGGTTCAACATATTGAGTACATGCTCTTCCTCTTGCATTCACAACCATCCATTCGCGATCCCACCGGAACCCTGATTGCAGACAAGATCTTAAGAGGCATTTCACGTTTTATCCATGATAATCAAACAAAGTTTTCACCTTTTCACAAGCAATAGTTATACTATTCTCATTAGTTACACAATAAACAAGATGAGATTTTTTATATACTTTCCCACAAAGGCCAAATCCCTTAGGACTGTGGAGTGATATGATTATGGTGACTTAACGACCCATTAAGTGGAAAGACCACGTGCTCACAAAGAATCACCCAAAAGAGGGTGAAACTCTCACGCTGCAACTGTCAGGCTCGCTATTGCATCTTACCCACAATCTGACACTGTGAGTTTGTCTATATATGGATTAGGAATATGAGTTTGTCTCATACTAGGAGTAGGAGTGAAACGGGTAGACCCAGGGATTAGATGCCTATAAATATATTGATTGTATCCTAAGGGGTTGGGTCACCACTATCACCATTACTATGACTATGAATATAAGAATTGTTTTTGCCGAACCTAGTAAATCTTGTCTTCTTTACGCTATTTGGCCATTATTATTTTTCTTGTTCCTGTTAATCTCAACAGACACCTAGAAATCAACTAAGCTATCCGTGCGAATGAGGATTAGTCTGAGTATGACAAGGACTTGCTTACTACAGTTAGGACACCTCTGACCAAAAAAAAAAACAGTAGAAACTGAACATCATTTCAACTCTTGGGGACCATTTGATCTATTTTCACCATTAGGATTCACTGTTTAGCATACTATTCTGGGGCATGCAGCCATACATACATTCAGTTTGAAGTGGTGCCACCATTGATGCATGCACGGCGAACATGAATTGAATTGAAAGAAGAAAAAGATAAAAAAAAAATATACCAGTGGAAGTAAGGGCTGCTTCAGGAACAGAGATCCCACGGCAAGATTTGAGAGGGTATATCCACATTGATGACACTTTTGCTTCTGCTGCTTCACATTCCCCCATTCTTTCTTTCTTTCTTTCTGGGTTTCTAATTAAGGCTTCAATTCATGTCACACAGACACTTTGGTCGGTGCTACCTAAGAAATAGGCAAAAATAATTCGACAACAAACATAATATATTAAATAAACAAATGCAAATGATGCACAGAGCACGGGTGGATAAAATTGTTTTATATCCACTTGTGCACAGGTGCATCATATATGGCAAATTCTTCCACATAATTTTAGCCACTTGCAGATCTTACTTTGACCGAGACACATGATCTACCATATTAAGATTGCCTGCATCCATAAAAAATGGCTTTTGGGTGACCCGCTATTACATCAAATGTCACCATAATTACTTCTACTTAAGTTCGAATATACCATCTCCCACATAAGAGAACAATTTAGTATCAATGGACCACAAGATTCTTGGTATCATCTATACCCATTTGAGTTTAAAAAATAGAGATGAGAATGCTAGTAAGAAGTCTTTACTCCACATTAGAAAGTGTGTGTTAGCACTAATATATATACAATTATGTTTTTAGATGAGTTTAAATTCTATAAAGTAGAGACTCTCTCCTCCTCCTGCTGCTGCTGTAGAAGAGAAAAAAGAGGAGCCTGCAGAAGAGTCCGACGACGACTTGGGCTTCAGCTTCAGCTTGTTTGATTAATTCCTATGATGTTGGCTATGTTGCTTTCATGGTTTTTGAATGTTTTCTATGTTGATGTTTCACCAAAGACAGCCATTGTTTACTCCTTTGACCCGAGTTTTTGAAATTTTATGTTCTCATACTCCAAACTTCAATTTGTAGTGAATTTTCTTGTATCAACTTCTCCTTTTCATTTTTTAATGACCAATATTACCTGGTAGTTAGGTTATAGTCAATTTTGACTTATTTGATTACTATTAACTATTTCATTTGGTTAAACAATCAATATTAGTGTTTGATTAATTAATTTTTTGAAACAACTTATTATTCTAAAATACTAAAATTTAAAAAGTTGCTCAAAATTGTTTTTCTGATAAGTTTTTTTTTTTTTTTTTTATTTTGCAAGTAATCTGTTAGCAGCTAATTTTCCAAACACTTTTCTACAATAATTAGCAAATGAATTTTGTTGTATGCTCCACTTAGTCATTTCTTTAGCCGTTTGGAGACATAGCTAATTAAGTTAAGTTGTTGGTTTGATAATTACAATAGTACAAGATTCTAAGTTTGACTCCAAATAATTATGGATAACCCCGGGGGTGTTTGGTTCACGGAATGTTAGATTACCTTGGTGAATGTTAGATTGCTGGGAATGTTAGATTATTGAGAATGTTAGATTATTGTGTTTGGTAAAAACTGGGCTATGTAAAATAGCAAGGTAATCTAGCATTACCTAAGTTTAGCAAGGGAATCACATTCCCTCAAAAAAGGAAAAAAATCTGATGAGGCAATGTTTGATTCCAAGGGAATATTATATAACTTCAACCAAACATAGGCATGTTAAATAACCAACCCAATATAACATTTGTTATCCAATATAAGCCCAACCAGTGTTATAGTTCTTTATTGATTAGCGTAACAAAATAGAATTTATTATGTTCACATATTTAAACAAGGACCTTAAATTTTCTTTTTCTTGTCATCCAAAAAAGAAATAACATCTTTAATTTACCTTTGAATAACCTACGAAAACTCAAACTCAAGTTGTATGTTTTTATCAAAATGTTAATGGGATACACGTTAGAGCTAGAAGTGGCCACGGGCCGGTTCAATGTCGAACCAACCCTGAATCGGCCCCGAAAAAAAAGTAAGCTTGGGCCTCACTAGGTCTGAGCCGGGCTTAGCTCGAACCGGAATCGCCTTGTTAAGGACCGGTTCAGGTCCTTTTAAAAAAAAATTCGAGGCCCAGCACAGAATCGGCCCATGGCCCAGGCACGAGCCCGACCCGGGCAAACACAGCTATAACAACAAAGCATGTCAACTTTGGTTCCATGGCTAAATGCCTAAAATTCTAAAAAAAAAATTAGTAATTTTGATTGTGACAGCTAGACTTATTACTTACTACTCATCCCTGCAACGTGAAACAGCCAAATATATTTGGCCGTTGAATGTAGCCTCTGTCGGAGGCTAGACTAGGCTTGGCCTCCGATAGAGGCTACTCCTGTTCTCGCCTCTCGGCCAGTGCAACAGATAAATATTTTTGTTTTTCTTCATTTTATTTACCATTTTACCATATAAATACTCTTATCCAATTTATTTTTATCACACAAAAATTCTTAATCCGACACTTTCTTACTTTACTCACAACAATTCTCCATAAATTAAAAGCAAACCCAATTTATAAGTCTTTTATAAATTTTTAATTTATCATCTAACATAATTTAGTGAGTAAAAATCAAATGAACTTTATAAACTATACTACATTTTATAATATTTATAAGTTATCAAATAATATTAAGTCAATAAGTCTTATATAAAGTTTTAATAGTACAAGACTACAAGTTCAAATGTATTTAACGTCATTTATAAATTTTAATTTAGTAAAAAATCATGTTAATTTTAAATTTTGAGATTAATAACAAAAATATTAATTTTAGAAAAGTGTGTGACTGTGTGTAATGTGTATATATACATTAATTATTATTAATGTATCAAGAGGTTGTAGTAGCTTAATTGGAAAAAATATATCTTCAATACAAATGAATTAAGATAACAATTCATTCTTATAATTGAATTACTAGAGAACGAGCACATTTGTCTAATTTATAAAAAAAAAATACTAAATAATGATAAAATAAAATCTCCAAAGTTACAGCACCGCATGCGTACATCTACATATTAGCTATCAATAACATCAAAACACATAAATGATCCAAATCATATCTTCAATTGCACTATATAATATTAATGTTTTAATTTAAATAATTACATATCGATCCAAATATTCTTAATATATTACAACAAATGCATTCCGTGCACGGACGAAAATCCTATTCACAATTAACATTAACAACAATATAATGTTCCATACTTATACAAAGATAGATAATTACAAGATTATTTCCATGCATAATAATTACGAAAATTATTACACCCATTTCCTCCCTGAATGTTGTTCATCAAACTAAAAGAGTAGTTTGGAGTTCAGACTGAAACATCAGCATAGGAAGACACCATCTTGAGGACATCAACACTGTCTCCCACTCTAATGCTTTTTTTCTTTCCTTCATCACTGCACTCTGTGCACACAACATACTGTCCAAAGTATATCTGCAAATTTATTATTGCACCTACCAGTTTATGCTAACACACCAGACATCATCCAAAAACGCTCGTTAACTTTGAAAATTTTTGTAATCCCTTACCCTTCCAAGCGGCTTCCTTTCTGGATGCAAGACTTTGTTCGAGCGGAACTTTGAAAGGGTTTCAAGTGGCTCTGGGCCTAGTGCTGCTGTTTCTGGATGAACTCTTGTTACCTGAAGTAGAATTAACTATTAGTTTAGACTTTTAGTTGAAATGGACCACATGCTTCAATTTGATATCAGAGCCAACCCCATGACCCTGTTGAGCATATAATGTATAAACATAAATGTGCACTCCAACTATCAGCATAGCATTTTAGTTGAAATGGAGCATATGCTTCAATACATTAATCATCGAGATTCCAGGGGTAGAATATGCAGAGGAAACAAGCTTTTACCTTACAACGGTAACATAGTTGAGAGCTATGAAATGTTAATCCATTTATCTTGATCTCTTTCCACAAATCTTCAGCGTATGCTTCACAGCCCTCAACAACAATGCTGTGTCCGGGGAAGTTTCCAAAGCATCAAAGATTAAAATTTTATCAAACAAACCCCGTTTAGTGATCTACATGGATTGAATGATGCGTGTAGTTTTGTTATGCAGCAAAAACACAGTTGTAATAAGACCTTAGTTCAAATAGAGGAATCACGGTGTAATAATAATTAAGCTATTGGTTGTTATCTTTAGTCTATTAGAACAATAAAGTTGGTGTAAGAGAATATACTTGGCTCTGAAGCGCACGATTGATACAGGCTCCTCGAGCTGCTCATTTAATGCATCCAGCGATTTCTGACAACAATAGCGAAAAGAAAGACAAAGCAGAATATGGTGGTAAGACCTTAGTTCAAAGAAAGCGGAAATTTTCTTTGAAGGACCGGACCGACTAGTCTAACCTGGGATACCAGGAGATATGGATATGCATCACTAAACTTAATACGGTAGCCAGAGGCAAAACTGGGGTTCGCAGACTTGTTCTCTGTTGCTGCATTAGCATAAAAGAGAGAACGAACATTAGCTCAAATCATTATAGTTTGAGGATTTAGGATGTTCAATAAGTGAGTGTTACCTTCATTAAAACGCACAAGCCGGCAAGGTTTTCCAAGAAACTTGGTGAACCACTCCGATGCTTGATCTCCCTCGTCTAATGCAGAGCCAGACCACTCCCACACCGAGACACCATTGCTTATGGCAGACGGTGCAACCAATGGGATCTTCAGCACATCCATCCCCGGGGCCTTAAATCACTGTTGAAGTAAACTATTAACCGTTAATAATAACATAAAACGAAACACATTACTTTTCACCAACATTTTCCCTATGATATGATTAATATATTTCAAATGAGAAATGTCAATTTTATCAGATTTACCTAAAAACGAGCCCTTTTTGGGTTCCCAGCCCTCTGAGAATGCCTCGTGAGGCAGTTCTGGTTCAACCAAAGTAAGCGATGGTTCAACCTTTTGAGTATATGCTCTTCCTCTTGCATTCACAACCATCCATTGGCGATCCCACCGGAACCCTGATTGTATACAGAATCAAACAAAGTATTTTCACCTTTTCACAAACAATCAAGGAAGAAGACCATTGAAATTAAGTACTCAATAGTTATACTATTCTTATTAATTACACAATAAACAAGATGAGATTTTTATTATACTTGCCCACAAAGGCGAAATCCCTCACCCAAGAGCTCCATAGGATTGTGGAGTGATATAATCACGGGGACTTAACGACCCA